TGGTCCCTGTGGACCACCAGCCATCTCATACAACTTGAATGTTCTGCTGCACCTGACACTGGTAGTGACCTTCTCTCTCCTCCCTTGGTTTCCATGTCTGGCCTGGTCCTGCTCCTTTCTCCTCATTGCCTTCGTGAGCACTTCTTCCTCTGCTCAGCTTTACTGCTGACGGTCCCCAGAGTTCTCCACTTCACCCTCTTCTCTTGTCCTCTCCTCTCCCCACAATGCTCTGACCCACCTGCTCCCTTCACTTTAGTTCCCATCTCTGTCCTTGCCTCCCGAATTTCTCCTGACCCATTCACCTACCTGCCTACGTAGTGCCACAGGCCTCTTTGGCTCACTAGGTCCCAAACCAAACTCTTCATTCGCAACACTGGATTCCAAAACTCATCCCTCATCCCACACCTGTCCACTTTCCCTCCTTGCTATGCCTCCTCTTCTCCAGCTTCTGCTGCTGCTGTGGTCCGGGCACCAGCCCCTCTCACCTGGATTGTCACAGCACTTCCACTCTGTCCTGTCTTGTTCACTCCAGGATACTGTACACATGAATCTTTCTATAATCTCTTTCTTTCCCACTTACAGGATGAAGTTCAACCCCTGACCCCACCCCAGGAGGATTGCCAAGTCTCTCCACTCTTGATCTGTCTCTGGCTTGTCTCTGTCCTCATCTCCTCCTTCTTCCTGACTGGCTCTTGTAACTCTACACCCCACCTCTGCTGCTTTAGGCTGCACTGCTCTTATTTCTTCAGCCTCCTCAGCCAAAATATAGCCTCCCACTGCCTGTGGGATCTTCTGCTGTTCATCCTTCTCCACTCAGCCAGTGCCAGTAAATACCTAGACAATTTTCAAAAGCCCAGCTCCAAGGTCAGCACTTTCACAAAGCTTTTCCTATTCCATTCCTCTCTCCAACCTCAGGAGAACAAACCATTCCTCCCTTTCTGTCTTTATTATGGAGGTATCTGTCAAAGCATTGGCAGTCTGGAAGGAGCATGCCTGGGGTCCAAGGCAGGATCTGAGGGCAGCAACCCCCACCAGAAAGCAGGCAAGGAACATACCAAAAACACCACTTCTATGTGGGTGGTTCATCACAGCCACACCCGCTGCAAAAGCAGCTCAACACTACAGCAGTAGTGACAGCCACTGTGCAGATGGCCCACCAGACACTTGACTGCATTGATGCAAAAAGAGTCAACAGTGGAGACCAGAAAAAAAAGAGGACGTCTCTCTCCTCAAAGCCCACTCCGGAGAAATAGAAGAAGCAACTGCTATACTAGATGACCAGACATCAATGTAGACATACTAGAAATATGAAAATCCAAGAAAATACGACACTACCAAAAGAGTACAGTAATTCTCAAATACCAGACCCTATAGAGCAAGAAAACCTTGAAATGACTGAGAAGGAATTCTGTGCAGCAATCTCAAGGAAACTCAATGAGAGATGAGAAGACTCAATTAGACAACATAATGAAATGAGAAAAACAATCCAGGATATGAAGGAGGAAATTTACAAAGATATTAATACCTTAAAAAAGAACATAGCAGAACTCATGGAACTAAAAGTTTCCCTCCACAAAATAAAAAACACAACCAAAAGCCAAACATCAGTCCAGAAGAAGCAGAAGAAAGAATCTCTGCTCCTGGAGACAGCTGTTTTGAAATAACCCAGGTGAACAAAAAAAAGGGGGGGAAGGGGGGGGAAGAATTTTTAAAAATGAAGAAAATCTAAGACAGCTAGCAGACGCCCTTAAGCACACAAACATTCTAATCATAGGTGTCACGGAAAGGGAGGAGAAAGGAAAAGGCATTAAAAATCTATTCAATGAAATAATAATAGAAAACTTCCCAGATATGGGAGAGACACAGACCTTCAGATACAAGAGGCGCAAAGATCTCCGAACAGATTCTACCCATAAAGATCCTCTCTAAGACTCATTACAGCCAAACTGGCAAAGCTCAAAGACAAAGAGAGAATCTTAAAAGAAGCAAGAGAAAAGCATCAAGTCACCTATATGTGAGCCCCTATCAGACTAACAGCAGACTTCTCAACAAAAACTCTACAGGCCAGAAGAAAATGGGATGATATATTCAAAATACTAAAAGAAACAAAACAAAACAAAACTGTCAGCCAAAAATACTATTCCCAAAAAGTCTATCCTTCACAAATGAGGGAGAATACTGTATTTCCCAGACAAACAAAAGCTGCAGGAGTCCACCACCACATGATCAGCCTTACAAGAAATCCTGAAGGGAGTCCTGCACCTGGAGTCCAAAAAGCAATAATCACTACCATGAATACACAAGAAAGAACAAAACCCACTGATAGAAAATGCAAACAAGAAAGAGACTGAATCTTACCACCACAAAAAACCATAATGACAGTGAAACAAAAGCAAACAAACCATCAGTCTCTTCAGAAGGTGACAGTAAGTGAAAGGGAAGAGTCAAGCATTTATCCTGTCTTTCCTATATGGTTTGCTCCTCAGGGTGACCATAAATAGCTGAGGACATTTCTGTCTACTGAAGTATTCCAGCTAGTAAATAAAGAGGGAATAAAACAATTTGAATATGGTATTTTGCAAACCTCTGTTGAAATAATGGATCTAGCAAATGATCATCACCAGCTGCTGATGTCACAGAGAGACGACCAGACATAACAGGCCTCCTGCGTAAGAACAGACACCACTGAAGCCAAATCTCACCTGAGTGAGGCCAAGCCTCAGGATTCAGCAAGCAATCACCAGGAAATGCAGGGGACAGTGGAAGATGTTAAATGACACTACTGCGATCCAGACATAACAGGCCTCCTGCGTAAGAACAGACACCACTGAAGCCAAATCTCACCTGAGTGAGGCCAAGCCTCAGGATCCAGCAAGCAATCACCAGGAAATGCAGGGGACAGTGGAAGATGTTAAATGACACTACTGCGATGGAGTCAGCAAATGCAGACCTTGGGAAACTTTATGGGGTAAAGGGGAAAAAATAGATGAAGGGGAAACTTATAGATTAAAAGAAATTTAAGAGAGAGCTGACATAGTAACCAAGGCAGCAAGCAGAACTTGTTTGGACCCTGATATAAACAAATCACTTGTAAGAAAGAGGAAGGGGGAGAGAATAGGAGAGATTTCAACATATTTAAAGTTTGATTATATTAAAGAATTATTATTGATATTTTAAATGGGATTATATCCTGAAGTTATGTCTTTTATAAAAGAGTTCTTATCTTTTAGAGACAGATACTGAAATATATTCAGACGAATGCTATGATACTGGGATTTGCTCAAAACAGTCTGGGGAGAGGCAGAAAGACAGAGACAGACAGAGAGTGGAGGTACAAGCCCAGGTTATCTTTGGAGCTCTGCGGGAGGGGAGTGCTGTGTGACTTTGAGCTGATTGCATAACCTGTCTGGTTCCTTCTCACCAATCCAGTGAGAATGAATTGTGAGGACACTGAGCACCAAACAAACTTTACATACCTAGTAGTAATTGTGCTCGTCTCTAGATGGGGGCTGAGACTGGTATCTTCTTTGCAGGCTTGTTGTAAGGATTAAGAGATAATGTACATGTATTAGTTTGTTTTTGTTGCTTGTCACAGAATATTGAAACTGAGTAATTTATAAAGAAAATGAAATTTATTTCTTACAGTTTGGGAGGCAGGGGAATCCGCAGCCCAGGGGGTGCATCTGGTGGGGGTCTTCTTCTTGGTGGAGACACTACAGAGCCCCGTGGCAACACAGGGTATTGCATGGTCAGAGAATGAGCTGAGCTAGAGAGAGCTGAGCTAACCTTCTAGCTTGCCCTCCTTGCACAGCCATCAGAGCCACACCCATTACTCCATGAGTGAATCAATCCATTCATGGGGGCACAGTCCTCACAACCTAATCAGCTCTTAAAGGCCCCACCTTTCAAATACCATAGTAGGATTTCCCACCCTCTTAACTCTGTTACAGTGAGTTCAAGTTTCCAATACATGAACTTTTGCCCCCCAGAATTAACCCATAGCAGTGCATAAAGCACTTGGTTTAATATGTGGTCTGTTTTAAAGCATTAATAAATTCTAGTTTTCATCATTCCTGGGGAAATTCAAAGGACTCTCAACTGGGCCCCCAAATCACGGAGAAGAAAAGGGAAATGTCTTAGAGGCACCTTGTCTGCCAAACATCAAGATTGCTTCCCCTGGGCAATACACGGCCCTCTGTTTCTGTCAACTCCATATCCCACCTGCACACACACAACCCACCGAGATAGAGGAAGCCTCAAGCCTGAGGACCCTGGAAATGTAACAAGGCTTGAGCCAGCACCCTGCACCGGTATGCTGGAAATACTCTTGAAAGTGTGGGGCTGAGTTAGGGACCCCTGATATCAAGGTAGAAAAGGACAGTGCAGCTGAGCCTATGGAAATCCTACAAGTAGTCCTTTTCTGAGCAAGGAACACTGGCCTTGAAGTCAGCCCTGCTCTGCCCCTTATCTGATACGTGGCTTTGAAAACTCCCTTCATCCTCTGAGCCTCAATTGAGTTATTGGTGTAATCAGGGGATTGGATAAAATGACCCCTCGTCTCAACCGTTGTAACACTCTCAATCTCTCTTATAACCCCCAGACTGTTAGGGACTATGATCCGGTAAGCACAGCAGACTTGGGAGCTTGGGCTTAAGTCCCGTTCCCTGGATCTACAGGAAATTGACTGCAGAAAATAAAGGAATCAACACCAGCAAAAGGGACAGCTTGCCAGAGCTGTCCCTTTCCCTGTCTCTGGAATGCCAGCAACTGGTGGCCTGTCTGGCCTCATTTCCTGGGAGTGCCCATGCCATTCCTGGCAAATGGTGGCTGGTGTGGGGCTTGGGGGACAGTGAGTGGGTGGCTTGGTCAGAGCTGAGGCAGCATTGCCTGCAGCTGGCCTGTTGGCCAGAAGCCTGCCACAACAGGACAGGGCAGGGCAGGCGGGGCGGGGCAAGGGCGGGGTGGAGGCAGGGCCTGCTGTGGTCAGTGACAAATGCTGGCTGCAGTTCAGCCAGCCCTCTGCCCTCTCCTGAGCCCGACAGATTGCCACCTCCACTGTGTGCACACTCGGCCACCGGACAGAGTAAGTACAGACACTGCAACGGGAGGTCCTGTGGGCTTGAAGGGCATGTGAGGAGGGGCAAGGACGGGCTGTGGAGTCACAGGCTCTGGAGGGCTTAAAAGCTCTGGAGGAGTCCCAGAATGACAGGAAGGGCCTCTGCAGTGTCAGGGAACAAGCTGGGGCCTCTGAGGCAGCAGAGGTGAGTCCCTGCTAGCTGTGTGACCTTAGACTTGATAATAAATCTGGCTGAGCCCCAGTTTCATTGTAGGTAAGATGGAAATAATTATGCCCTCTGCATGGTGTGACTCTGGAGATTAAATACAGTGGTGGCTCTCACCCAGGCACATCTGGCCATGCCTGCCAACACGTTTACATGTCACAGCTGCAGGGAGGTGCTATTGGCATTTAGGGGGTGGAGGCCAGGGATGCTGCTAAACACCCTACAATGCACAGGACAGCCTCCACCACAAAGAATGATCCTGCTCAAAATGTCAACAGGGCCAAGTTTGAAAATCCCTGAAATAAGGTAGTGGGGACCAAGTATCTGCTAGACAGAAGGTGCTCAGTAAATGGTAGCTTCTATTGTTTTCTGCACCTGGAGTCTCAGACCTTTAGAAATCAGGAAAAATGATCAAGTATAATCTACTTCTCTGAGATAAGGCAGTCCCGCCTGGAGGCCGCTGCCCAGGATGGTCACGGTGGCTGCTCACCGGGAGCTGTTTGGCAGTTTGTTAAACACACACAATGTAGAAATAAAGTGAATGGAATTTTCAGTTTTTCTAAGGATGGGGCCCTTGGCAAGAAATGCAACTATAAAAGGGGAAACTGCTCCCCTGGGCCAACATTCTCATTCACAGGTCAGGAATTCAAAGCATGAAAAACAAAGAGGGCAGAGGAGACTTGAGGAGGTGATGGACACGTTCATGGCATTGACTGTGGTGACAGTTTCATGGCTGTATACTTACCCCCAAACTCGTCACGTTGTATATATTAAAGATGGACAGCTTTTGGTATGTCAGCCATACCTCAATAAAGTGGTTTTAATAAAGAAAAATAAAGGTAGCAGAAGCTGAGTGACAGGGAGGGAGTTATCCAAGGTCACCTGGCAAGAGAGCCCAGGAAGGTCAGAACAAGTTCTGGATGCCCAGCTGGCTCTGTTTCCACTACTCGGTGTCCAGTGTCTATTTAACACCTCTGAATTACAGAGGAGGAGACAGGGCCCATTCATTCATTCATTCATTCATTCATTCGTTCGTTTCACAAAGGTGTGTGGAGCACCTCCCGTGTGATCACACAGCCTTGCAGCTGTGAGCAGCACAGATGAGCCTCCTCTGTTACGAGCACGTCTGTGCAGAGAGAGGCCGGAACACAAGATGTCAACCACAAATGCATAAATTATTACACTTACCTAAGTAACGGAGCTATGAGAAAAACAATCAAGGGCCATTATACGAGCAGAGAATAGCAGCCGAAGGGGAGAAGGCTGAACGTAATAGGGTATGCCAAGAAGGGATATTTAAGCAGAGGCCCGAAGCCTGCGGAGAAGCCTTGTTGCCTTTGAGGGACTGCGAGAAAAAGAGACGTTCCTGGGGGACTCGCGCGACCCAGGGCAGAGGAGGTTGAGATGAGGCTGGAAGAGTCAGGCAGGGTTGGCTCAAAGTGAGATTTTTACCCAGATGCAGGGGCAGCAGTGGTGTCCTCAGGTAAGGGAGCGCTGTGACCGTGCTTGTGATTGGAGGAGATTGTTTTATTCTCTCTGTGTAGACACTGGCTCGTCAGGGCAAGGGGGAAGCCACTGGGGTGGTCCAGGTGAGAGATGAGGGTGGCTTCCATTGGGGTGGTGGCAGGGAAGACAGAGAGAGGCAGGCAGATTTGAGACCTATTTTAGAGACAGAAACCAACAAGCCTTGCTGATGGGCTGGAGATGGGAAAGGTCAAGGCCGCTTCTCCCACGAATCTCTGTCCCTGGGTCTTTAGGATCCGGAGGAAGCTGTGACTTTGTCCTTCCCTTTCTGCCTGGGCTCAAGTCTCACATCCCTTTTCGTAACCAGCAGATATTGGACAGACCCTCCTCCTCTGCTCACTTCCCACAGCTGAGTCCAAAGTTGGCCTAGGGGGGACTTTGTTGCCTAACATTTGGAACAAAAGCCAGCAGACTTGGGGTCCAGGGATAGTGGGGGGCCAGTGGGAGGACTGGCCAATGCTTGCCCGCCCCATCCCCAACCCCTGCCACCTCAAGTCACTTTGGCCTGAGATGACAGATGAGTTTGCATGATCTGCTCTCTTCCCTCTGCACAAACATTAGTGTCAGGGGCCCTGGCGAAGGGCGGCCAGGCCAGGCTCTCCCGGTGCTCGGTGGGGGCTGGTCTGCTGAGTGTGAGGCTCCCAAGGCCTGGAGCAGACTCACCCTTGGCTCAGAGTTGACCCAAAGCTGTGTCAAAGCTGTATATTTCCACTGGAGGCTCAGGAGTGTGATGGCAAAGCCCAGGCTTTGAAACTAAGCCCAAAAGGACTCCCTGGGGCCTCCACTGCTCTCAGAGAAACTTCTCTGACCCTCTGTTTCCTCTGTTTCTGTACAATTAGTTAACGATACCAACTCCGTGTTGCTGTGGAGGAGTTTAAATGAACTAATACACGTAAGCAGCTTGGCAGAGGCCTGGGGGGACACACCAGGAGATGGGACGAGGAGGACTGACGTGTCATTCCTCAGAGACACAGAAGAGAGCTAAGGGGCAGCATGTGCTCCAGCCAGGGGAACCGGGATGATTAATCCTGGTTCTGTCACTCACTGGCTGGGACAAGCTACTTCACTTCACTTAGCCTCAGTTTATTCATCTGTAAAATGGGGTGAAGAATGCTTACTTTTGGTGAATATTAAATGTAGTAATATTTATAGAGTGTCTGGTAGGTTCTTAATAAATAGCAGCTTTAATAAAATATAGAGAAAGTGAGAGTGCGCCCATAAGGAGCAAGATTTCTGGGTCCTAAACCTGTAGCACAGGGGAGCCTGAGTGAACCTGGGGCCCTCTCCAAACAGAACCTGCTTTCCTGGGAGACCCAGTGGGAGAAGCAGCTCCCACCTCTGGTGCTGGGGGTGGGGGCAACGGTAGGGGAAGCTGCTGACCACAGCACAAAACAGACCCCCTGCTGCTGACAAAGAAACTGAGGCCCAGAGAGGGGAAGGGGTCTCCGCAGGGCAAGCCAGCCAGCTCCATGGATGGGAGGATGGGAGGCCAGATCCTCACAGTCTGCTGTCAGCTGCTGGGGGCTCTGTCTGAGCAGGACCTCCCCCACTTCTGCAGCTATTCTTTGAAAGACTTTCTTTGGGGTAATTATCAGCTCAATGTTAATCTGCAGGGGATTGAGCTGAATTGTTTCTCTAGCAGCATTTTGGCACATGGAGCATTCTAACACTTTGTGGGAGGGACCATATTGTGCTGTAAAATAGACTAGTTGAAAGGACACCAAGATTAAACTGCCTACCCGTGTCCTTTACAGACTTCCAGAAGGCAACTCTCACAGTGGAAACAGAAAGGGAGTGCTGGATTCTAACACTTTGTGGGAGGGACCATATTGTGCTGTAAAATAGACTAGTTGAAAGGACACCAAGATTAAACTGCCTGCCCGTGTCCTTTACAGACTTCCAGAAGGCAACTCTCACAGTGGAAACAGAAAGGGAGTGCTGCGCAGGAAGCCCAGACTGTGTTGCTAAATTATCTCCAGATTAGGGCTATCGGTGGTGGCTGCTGAGTCAAGGTTTAGAAAATCAGAAGGCTGTGACAGAGAAAAGGAGGACCCAGGGATCTGGAGAAGCCCAATAGTGTGGTAGTTTAGAGCATGGGCTGGGAAGGTCAGAAATGAGTCTGAGTCCAAGCTTTGCGACGATTAGCAAGTGACTCAACCTCTCTGAACCTCGGCTTACCCATCTGTGAAATGGAGCTGGTAACAGAATCTATGAGTATGTGTAAGTCTAAAAGAGTCGATATGTCAAGACAGCACAGCACCCAACAGAGGGTGTGGGCCATGTGCCGGGCCTCCCACGGGGGGTGACTGCTGAGACTGTACTCGGTTCCCGTAGCTGAAGGTTCTGCAGGCAGAACACTCTAACCGAGCCTCCTTCTCTGAGCTCAGAGTGCAATTTGGAGGCTTGGGTGGGGAGAGTGACCTACCCGAGCTACCCAACTTTGCTCAGTCAAAGACAGGCCTGCGGCCCAGCTCTGCACGGTCCCTGAGCCCATTCTTGTCCCATCACCTCCCACAGTGGGCCACTCCGCAAACAATTTCCAAGGCAGCTGTTTGGGGCCTTTGGAGTCAAGACAGGCCTGCGGCCCAGCTCTGCACGGTCCCTGAGCCCATTCTTGTCCCATCGCCTCCCACAGTGGGCCACTCCGCAAACAATTTCCAAGGCAGCTGTTTGGGGCCTTTGGAGTCTGGTTTTGTTTGGATCATGTGACTCTATAGCAGACTGCCCTTGCCCGCCCTGGGGGACCTGATGACATGGTGCCCCTGTTGGGAGAGAACCCAGCTGAGGAGCATTCACTCCAAGAATGGTACTCTGGATGAAAACTGTTGTCAGAAGTCAGTTAGGCCACCTGCAACTTGGGAATTAGCTGGCCTGCTGCTGCCAGACTCGCTTGAGAGCGTGTGTGGATAACATGTACCAACCACACAGCCAAGGAAATGGGGGTCCCGGGGCTGGCTTTGGCCAAACATTGCTGTGCTGATGGCTCGTGCTCCTGCAGCATTTGCTCTGTGACGGGCACCTCTCCAGGAACTCTATGTACGCTGACTCATGAAACCCACCACCCCATGGTGTAGGTGCTGTGAGTGCCTCTGTCTTCCAGGTGGGGAAACCCAGGCAGCAGGCTCCAGAGTCTGGGCTCCTTACCACCAAGCAGGGTAGAAGGAGGACTTTGGGCTGTGGCCAGATGGGGAGGTAGGGGCAGGAAAAATATTCCTAGGAGGCAGGGGAGGGGTGACGGAAGGCAGGGGACAAGGCAGGAATGATAGAAGACCCCATACAGGCCCCTGGGAAGCCCTACAGAGGTGACAGACGAGGGTCTTCTGCTCTGGAGGATGAAAGAAGAGATGTGTTGGCCTGCTCAGGCTGTCAAATGAAGTATCACAGACTCGGTGGCTCAGACACCAGACGTAGTTTCTCTCATGGTTCCCAAGTCAAGAAGGCAAGAGCTCAAGGTGTCAGCAGGGTGAATCCCTTCTTGGGCCTCTCTCCTTTGCTTACAGGTGGCCATCATCTCCCTGTGTCCCCACATGGTCTTCCTTCTGTACATGTCTGTGACATGACCTCCTTTTTAAAAAAAATAAGAATAGCAGTCATATTGGATCAGGGCCCACCCTAGTGACCTCATTGTAACTTAATCATCTCTTTTAAAGGCCCTGTCTCCAAATATAGTCACATTCTCAGACACTGAGGGTTAGGACTTGTGCATATGAATTTTAGGAGATACTGAGGCAGGGGTAAAATAGAGACACGCCCCAGGGAGGCTGCTCATAAATATTCAGACTGGATTGGCCGGAGCCTGCATTCTAGGTGGGACAGGAGGGGCAGAGGTCAGCCATTAGGAGTTTGCACGTGGGACGGAGAGGATGGAGGAGGTCAGGAGCACGTGTGTCTCTCTCTGGCAGAGGTGCCTGTGCACTTAGGCATGTACCACCGCTTAGCAATAAAGCCCCATCATGTTCCATTTCTGTTTCTCTCTTCCTTTTCTTTTGCCAGCCCATGAAAAATTCTTCTTTCATGAGTCATGAACCTGGATATGCCACCCGATAACAACACGATTCAGCCCAGAACAGAAGGGAGGGAAGTCGAGATGCTCATGTTAAGGAGGCAGAATTTCCTTAGGAGGGGAAGGTGTCTCTGATGAGGGACACGGGTGGCCTGGAGCAGCCCCCTGGGAGAAGAAGGGGACCCATCGGCATGCCACCCTGCCTGCCACAGTAGATGAATGAACAAGGACAAATCTGGCAGTGCTGAGGGCCCCAGGGGGTGGCTGGTCTGAGTTCATAGAGGGAGCGTGAGGCCTTGCCCAGTGCTGCACCAGGACACTGGAGTGAAGGTCAGAGGCCACATATGGAATCAGGCTTCTGGGAACCTTAGAGAGGCTGACAAGACAGAACAGGGAGAACCTCTTCCCCGCCACGTCCCATCCCACTAACGTGTCCCTTGATGTGGAAGAGAGGGGAGGATTCTTGCCCTGGTGGCCAGTCCCCCACCTCGGGTCTGCCCCTCTTCTGCTCCTTCCTCTCCTCACTGTTAGAGTCCACATCCCCGGGTCCCTGTCCTCGAGACACTACTGCCACCCCTAATCCCTCAACCCCAACCTCACGGGTATCGTCACTTTTCTTTGTGACCGTGGCTGGATGGGCCAAACCTCCATGTTGGGGTGGGGTGGTGACCTCCCTCTGGAATTTCAGTCTCTCCTGCCTCCCAATCTTCTGTCTCCCTCCCAGTCCACGGCTCTGAGAAGCCGCTCTGGTCCCGCACCTGCTCTGAGGACATCTTCCTGCTCTTCCTTTCAGAACAGGGGACAGCCAGGATGCGGCGCTTCCTCCTCCTGTGCCTGCTGCTCCTCAGCCCTCAGGGTGCCACCCTCCACCGCCACCACTCCCGGGAGATGAAGAAGAAAATCAGGGAACTCCGTTTAGGTGCCACGGTGGTTCCCAGCAGCGGGGACTTTGCTTTCAACCTCTACAGGACTTTGGCTTCAGCTGCTCCTGACCAGAACATCTTCTTCTCCCCTTTGAGCATCTCCATGAGCCTCGCCATGCTCTCCCTGGGGGCTCAGTCCAACACGAAGACGCAGATCCTGGAGGGCCTGGGCCTCGCGCCCGTGGCGGGTGCAGAGGAGGAACTCCATAAGGGCTCCCAGCAGCTCCTGCTCGAGCTCAACCAGCCCAGAGACGGCTTCCAGCTGAGCCTCGGCAACGCCCTGTTCACAGACCCCAAGGTGAGCGTTCAGGACGCCTTCCTGAGTGCCGTGAAGACACTGTACCTGGCAGACACTCTCCCCTCCAACTTTGGGGACCCCGCAGGGGCCCAGAAGCAGATCAACGATTATGTGGCAAAGCAAACTAAGGGCAAGATTGTGGATTTGATTAAGAACCTCGAAAGTACGGACATCATGGTTATGGTGAACTACATTTTCTTTAAAGGTAAGACCCTTGGGCTCAAACCTGAACTCTCTCTTTTCTGCTGTTTTTATCAAAAGAATACCCAATTTCCTCACACAGAAAGGAGTGAGAGGAGATTTGGCCCTTTCTGGTGCCTGTTGAGAGAAGTAAAGCCACGGGTAAGATGGGAGCCTTCCTGCCGGGTAGGGTGTTGTTAATGAACCCAGGATGCTGTTTCTCCACCGTTTGGGCTGCTATAACAAAAATAACAGAAACTGGGTAACTTAGGAACAACTGAAATTTACTACTCACAGTTCTGGAGGCTGGGAAGTCCAAGATGAGGGTGCTGATGATTTTGGTGTCTGATGAGGGCCAGTTTCCCAGTTCACAGGTGGCTCCTTCTTGCTCTGCCCCACATGTGGACATGGTGGAAGGGGTGAACGAGCTCCCTTGGCCTCTTTTATAAGAGCCTCATGACCGCATCACCTCCCAAAGGCTCCATCTCCTAGTACCACCCCCTTGGAGGTTAGCATTTCAGCATATGAATTTTGAGGGGACACAAACCTCAGACCATAGCTGTGAGTATCCAGCTTGGATTCTTAGTCCAGGGCTGTCCCCGTTACACGAGGCTGCAGAGAACCACTGTAAAATAAGCTAAGTGAGGTAGTGGGGTGGGGTCTACTTTTGATAACTATTAAGAAGGTGAAACCGATCACCTGTAGAACTTTGATCAGAAGTTCCCATAGGAGGTGGCCAGAGAAGGAAGCTTCATTGAAGACTTCCCAACAGGAAAGGTCACGCATTTCCAGGACCCTTACAAACATCTTTCCCAAACTTAGATCAAAATCTAATACTGGTAAAAGAGTGAAAAACAGAATAACTCACCCAGATATCTGCTGGCATTCTCAGCCATCCATATTTTTTACCCTCTTCACTCGAATACTTGGTTTTGGGTAAAATCAGAGAATCAAAAAACATTAGCAGCCAAGAGCCTCTGAAGACATGAACACCAAACTTTTTGTTTTACAGATGTGGAAGGGAAGTCCCCACAAAAAGTTAATGCATGTCCCCAAAGTTGTAAAGGGACTTACCTTTATATTCAAGGGGCTCAGCAGTCACTGCCTCTGAGGCTGCTCTAAGGAGAGTTATCTCTGGTGACTATGTCTACAGTCTCCACTCCTCTCATTTGCAGCTGAGAATTTCTAATTCTTACATGAAGTTCCCTTTCATTTCCCCTTTCCTGCTTTCACCTTTAGCTAAGTGGGAGACAAGCTTCAGCCATGGAAGCACCAAAGAGCAGGACTTCCATGTGACCCCGGAGACCACGGTGCGTGTGCCCATGATGAACCGTGAGGACCAGTATTACTTCCTCCTGGACCGAAACCTCTCTTGCAAGGTGGTGGGGGTCCCCTACCAAGGCAATGCCACCGCTCTGTTCATTCTCCCCAGCGAGGGCAAGATGGAGCAGGTGGAGAATGGACTGAATGAGAAAACGCTGAGGAAGTGGCTTAAGATGCTCACGAAGAGGTACTTTTTAGACTACTTGGGGCCAGCCTAGCCCTACGCACCCCCAGGGAGACACATGCCCACACAGTGGTGGTGGGAAGAACTCCCCCACCAAGGAGCTGCCTCCAAACCCAGAGACATCTCGTGAAGTCCCCAGCCCCCAGGGTCTGGCCCTGCTGGAGTGACCAGGGCTGGAAGCCAGGTTTTTTGGGGTGTCACCAGGAACTTCTGGGGGCAGCCCAAGTCCAAGTTCAGAGCAAGAGGATCTCTAGCCTAGATAAGAGGCATGGGTAGTGTAAAGAAGCCACGGGGAGATGGCAGGAATATGAGCGCAGTGCGCCGATGCCCCAGAACATCTGAGAAAGGTTCTTTTGTCTTTCCAGGAAGCTCGACCTTTACCTTCCCAAGTTCTCCATCGAGGGCTCCTATCAGCTGAACAAAGTGCTCCCTGGGCTGGGGATCAGTGACGTCTTCACCTCCCATGCTGACCTGTCTGGCATCACCAGCTTCTCCCAAATCCACATGTCAGAGGTGGGTCCAGAAGTTCCTGAGCATCTGCTTTTGGAGATCACTATTCTATTCTGTTCTGTTCTGTTCCATTCCATTCTATTCCCGCTCTCTCTGTCTCCCTTCCCTTAAGAAGCAAAGGTTTCACTTGTGTCTTATCCTTCATGCAGTGAGAAGCTATATCCACCATCGCACCTTGGGGGAAGGAGTCCTGTATTAAGCAATCAAAGCTAAGAATCCGGTACTAGCTCCGTCACTTACTAGCTGTGTGATCTCCATCAAACACTTGAATCTCTGAGCCTCCTTTCTCTCCTCTAGAAAACCGAGAGTCCCCCCTTGTTCCAAGATGTCATGAGAATTCAATGACAGACGCATGTGCAGTCACCTTTTCAATGATAAACATACATGCATTCTCCTCCCAGCACAGTGCCTGGTGCAGAGTAGCTGCTCGATTGTTCTATTTCTTACATTACATCACAATAGACTGTTCTATTTCTTGCTTTGTGGCTCGGTTGCTGAGGTACTGCAGCAGTGATGCCCACAGGCAGCAGCTTTGCCATGTCCCATGCTGGCTTTTCCCAGCCCCCAGCAGCTCGGTGATGCCTGGTTCTCTCCTGCAGATGGTGCACAAAGCCGTGGTGGAGGTGGACGAGTCAGGAACCAAAGCTGCCGCAGCCACAGCGGCAATCTTAGGATTCAGGTCAGCCCGACTGAGCTCTCAAATGGTCAAGTTCGACAAGCCCTTTCTGATGCTCATTGTGGAGAACAAGAGCATCCTCTTCTACGGCAAAGTGACCCACCCCTGAGATGGGGGCTTCTCCTCAAATCCACAGGCCTCCATGGCGAGGTGTGCTCTGGCCCATCTGTCTGCTGATAGCTAGTACTTCACATAGGTTTAGTTGACTAATGTGGCATCACAAATAAAAATAACATTGATATACCGATGATTGTGTCCTCTCACACAATTTCAAGACATGGATACCTTGGAGAACATTGGGTCTTGTCCTGACCTTTCATTAGTAGAGACTAGTACTGAGGCCCAGAGAGGCTGGTTGACTTGCCCAAGCTCACACAGCACATTAGTGGCAGAGAAAGGTGCAGGATCCAGGCCCCTGATGCCCTGTGCAGTGCCACAAAGCTCTGTAGGAGGGTCATTCCGGTAGATGAGGGCAACCAGGAAACATGTTTCCAAGCCTGGTCTCCTATCTATCAGCATCAACAACTGTCAGGTCATTATGGTTTTTGGAAAGAACAAAGAATAGGTGTCTGTCCCAACCCTAACCAGCTGTGTGACACTGGGGTAACACTGCCCCTCTCTGGGGTGTTCCCTGTCAATCATGGTTGATTTCCATACACTCAAGAGTCATTCATCCTTTAAGAAAAACTGGTGGGTATCAGGGTGGAAATGGCCCATTGCAGGATTGTGGATAGAGTTATAATCTCATGGGCCTGGCTGGCAGTGGGAGAATGGAGACTTGTTGCAAATAGTAGAGTGTCAGTTGCGGAAGATAGCTAACGTTTTGAATTTTATATCAGCAATAACAATAAAGCATTTTGCAAACACTGGACATCATGGTCTTTATGGAGGCAGCTCTGGGAATGGTGACCATATTCCAGGCTGGGTGCTAGATACCTTGGAGAACATTTCACCTGGATGGTCACATTCACCCCTCACAGTGCTCTACTATGGAGGCAAGGCACCACTATTATCCACATTTTACAGATGGGGAAGGCGAGGCTTGGAGAGGTTGGATGGCTTACCCTGTCTTGTAGCTCATAAAGTGGTGGAGCCAGGGTTTGACGAGGGAGGGTGGCCCAGAGCCGCGTGCTCAGCCCTGTACTCTGCGGTGGAGGAGAGATGATCAGGAAGTGGAGGACTGGTTCTCGTGCTTCTCAGCACCAGCTTCCCTGTGAGTAAGTTTCTTCCCCCCATTTACCAAGCCAGCATGTTTCCTTGTCTCTCAAATGAAGGGGATCAGACACTTGCAAGGACTGCTGAATGAATGAGTGAGTGAGCCGGCCAGTTAGCTCAGTTAGTTAGAGCACACCCTTATAACATCACTAAGATCATGGGTTTGGATCCCTGTACTGGCCAGCTGTCCAAAAAAAAAAAAGAGTAAGTGAGTCCTCCTTCACTCAGTTCACTAATTAGCTGTCCCCAAGTCTGATGCTCTTAGTACCTGCCTGCCCCATGCTGCATGTTCTTAGCATGCTTTCCACAAGGCTGTGCCCACCACTCTGATCCCAGCGTCTGGATGGTATTGCAGATGGATGCCCACTGGAAGTCATAAGGTCAGAACCCCACTCTATGGCCTGCCCCCAAAGAGCTGAGCACCTACTGTGCACCACCCCATGAAGACACTTCTCATCTGTGATCTCATCCATCCCTCAGCAACCCAGCAAGGTCTGTCACTGCCCTCACTTCACAGAGGATAGCATAAGTGCTTGCCCAGAGACATGCAGCTGGTGACAGTGGGGGCTTGGAGGTTCCCAGTGGCACATGTGTTGGCTGTGGGAGGGGGAGATGGCTGCAACCAGACCCAGACAGCTCATCTGCGTTTGTGCTACAGGCTCAGAGCGGCTCTTCAGGATCAGGCCTCCTTGTGGGTCACCCCTCCTGTGTGCCTTTCCCTTGCATAATACCTAGTCTGTCTTGGCAAATACCTCTCTCCCTGTTTACCCAGCCAGTCCAAGGTCAGAGGAGGCCTGCTTGTGTGTCGTGTATAAGGCCAAGGTCCAGCGCTGTCTAAAGTTCACTGGGCAAACAGTCGCAAAGCAGCTACTGTGTGTGGGATCGGGAGTGAGCTCCAGTGTATTGAACCTCCTACTGCGTGTCACTCCTCAAAGCACCGTACTGGACATCGTTGCAGGCTATGAACTCAATTGTCATACGATCCTGGGATGCACAAATCATATAGCAGCTCCAAGAGACAGACAGAGACTGAGAGAAAGAATAAATCTTGAGAGGTCAGGAAAGTTTTCACAGAAGAGGTGACACCGAGCTGGTCTTGAAGAATGAGTAGGATTTGGCAGACAGCAGATGGGGAACAGGCACAAGACTTCCAGGCGGAGGGGGCAGCTTGAGAAGCACATGCTGTGAGTGATCCCTGGTGCACAGGGGAAATCGTGGGGGCTCCAGCGTGGACTGGTGTGGGGTGCATGAAGGAGAACAAGGAAGTGGAGGTGGCCATGCTGCTGGTCCAGTGACAGGGATCCTGAGCATAGGCCAATGCTTTGTCCTCTTTCATCCCAGTTACAGGGTGGTTTGGTCATCCAAACCACACCCTGTGTCCCCCAGATCCCTTCCCATCCCTCATGCTGCCATAGCACATCAGTAGTGCCTCCACTCACCCTCTAGGGGGCACTCACACCACCCACATCTTCTCCAGTTCCCCACCTGCCCCTGCCATGGATTGACTTCCTCCATGGGGGACATAAAATGCGGGTCTGTGGGACACCTGCATGCATAGGTGTGGCTGTCCCCCTCCACACCCTCCTTCTTAGCAACTGTACAAGTCTGTTCAGGCTGCCATAACATAGCACCAGAGACTAGGGGCTCCAACAACAGAAATCCATTTCTCACAGTCCTGGAGGCTAGAAGTCAGAGATCAAGATATCAGCAAGGTTGGTTCCTTCTGAGGCTTCTCTTCTTGCCTTGCAGACGGCTGTCTCAATCAAAACTCAAGGAGTTATTTTGTTTGTTTATTCTGTTTTTGTAGAAATTGACAAATTGCTGCTAAAATTTATATGGAAAAGTGAAGGACCTAGAATAGCTAAGGGAATGTTTGAAAAGAATTAAGTTGGAGGATTTCCCCTACAATTTTTTAGACTAAAACTGTGTCTAAAGGGTCTAAGAACCTGTGTCTTCACCCTAATGACCTTGTTTTAACTTAATTGCCTCACAAGAGGCTCCATCTTCAACTACAGTCACATTTTGAAATATTGAGGGTTAGGACTTCAATGTATACATTTGGGGAGGGGGGACAAAATTCAGCTCATAATGGCCACCCTCCTTGGATTTCTGCAGCTCTTGCCAAGTTCACTGTTGTTCTTAGAAAGCCCACTTTTATTTCTCTCTCTGACCACATGGACTCTAGGACCTCCCTTGTGAGCTGCAACCAGCACACAGAGGAATCATGCACTGCTAGTGCCCAGACTGTTCCTCCATTGCTCCCTGCAAAGACCCAAATGAGAGAGAATGGTCTTGGTCTTCAGCAGAAACACTTCCCACCCCAGTGAACAGCCGTGCCCGGGCTACACCTGACTGTGGGGCTTACTGAGCTCATTGATTCAAAGGCTATTCACGAGTTGCCTGCTAGGAATCAGACACGGAGCCAGCGCAAGGGTATACTAGTGAGCCCAGCAGATGCGGGCCCTGGCATAACCAGGCAAACAAGTATGTACACCCGGAATTACAACCTGTGATGAGGGCCACTCATGTTTGTCCACAGGTGTTTGTTCAGTGTCCACTGTGTGCCTGGCACTGTTCCAACTGCCGGAGATAAGTTAAGAAAACAAAAAAGCCAAAATCCCTGCCACTGTAGAGCTAACATTCTAGTGTGAAGAGAAAATAAAATAAAAATAAAGAAATGAAAATAAAGAATAAAGTACAAAAGTAAAAGATGTCGCCTGTCGGTTGGTGACAAGGGGTGTGGAGTGTGACTTGTATCTAAGAACGGAGCACAGGAAGTGGAGTAACAGTGATGTTTCAGCGGAGACGTGGCAGTCACTGCCTTGGCCAAGGGACAGAATCGACATTAAATGAAAATAAAGAATAAAGTACAAAAGTAAAAGATGTCGCCTGTCGGTTGGTGACAAGGGCTGTGGAGTGTGACTTGTATCTAAGAACGGAGCACAGGAAGTGGAGCAACAGTGATGTTTCAGCGGAGACGTGGCAGTCACTGCCTTGGCCAAGGGACAGAATCGACATCACTAGTGATGAGCTGTGTTGACCTTTTGTGCCTCTGATGTCCTGTGGAATCTTCCTCCAAACCCACAACCTCAGTCTAGTCATGAGAAAACAGCAGCCAAACCCAAGTTGAGGGACATTCAACAAAATACCTGACTAGTCCTCCTTAAAAGTGTTGAGGTCTTAAGAGGCGAGGAAATCCTGAGGAATTGTCACAGATGGGAAGAGACTATGGAGACACCGTGACTGAATGCAGTGTGGGATCCTGGAACAGAAAAGGACATTAGTGGAAAAAGTGATGAAACCCAAACAAGCCTGGATGGTGCCAGCGTTCATTTCTTGGTTTTAGTAAATATGCCATGGTTAAGTGAGATGTTTACATTCACATTAACAGAAGCTGGGAGAAGCCTACACGGGAACACTCCGTACAGCTTTTCTGTAAACCCAGGTGTGTTTTAAAATAAAAAAACATTTAAAAATAAAATGTTCCCCAATAAAGTCAGGGAAGGGAATAGGAGCAGGACTGCAAACTGCAAAGGTGGAAGCAGGAGACAGTTAAGGAAGAGAACAGGGCGCTGAGAGAGACAATGTGATCAGGGCACCTTCTGTAGCTGGGAGCCAGGAGGGTCTCTCCGAGGTGGTGGCATTGAGGCTGAGGTCTAAGGAACAAGCAGGAGCAGATGGGACAAAGGTTAAGCATTAGTGTCGCGAGCCAAGTCCCAGAGGCAGCAGAGGGTAGTGCCTTTTGAAAGAGGGCATGAGCACTGGAGCTGGTGAGGGAAGGGATGGGGAGGGAGGCTCGTGCCTTCGTCAGTAGCCATGACACCGTATGGGTGCTGGGGGGGGGTGACACTAATGATAACAGGTAGCACTTGTAGGCCACATCCTGCATGCCTGGCACTGGTCTGAGGTCTTTGTGTTTATTGGTTCAGTTAATGAAGAGGTGAACCAAAGAGTACCTGCCACAGGGGGCCAGGGGACAGTTAGCAAGTGACATCATTGGTCTTCCCCAGCTTCCTGAAGGACCATTCCACAG